TCTCAAAAGCCTAAAATATTTACCATCTGACTCTTTACAGAAAAGGTTTGCTAACTCCTGGTGTAGATCAATCTGGGTATAAATGCAGGGAAGGAAGACATTTGGAATCAGCCAGGGTTGAGGTCTTGACAAGTGGAAGGATAAGGCAATGGATTTGAAGATACTGGCAGTGAACCTTGGTATTAGTCCTTGGAATCCAAGCTGCAAAGGAAAAGAAGTGGACAAAAGGAACTGATGGGGTTGGGGTTCTGGGGTTTACTTGGACTTCTTGAAAATAGTTGGAAATAAAGGCTGAAAATGATAGAAATTTGTGGTCATAGAATATGGAAATGTATGATTTTAAAAGAGGAGCAATTCTAGGTGGTGTGTCCTGAGTGTAGTAGCTGAGGTATGGAACTGAGAGGTAAGAGTGCTGGCTAGATCTTCTAGGTAGATGCTAAAGCCTCCCAGAGTGGAATGGAGAGGAAGATGGTGAGCCAGATGGTTGTCTTTTCTTAACCACTTTGGTATGGCACTCACCGGCTGCGAAACCTTGCCTGTAGCCGGCACTCATAGTCCACACGATAGTTTGTGCTGTGCATTGATGACAAATCCGTTTTGCTCTTATGTGATGAAGATAGCTTTAAAGCACTGAAAGCTTGTTTTACTTTACAGGCAGCTTTACTTGTAATGTAAATAAGAATAGGTAACATATACATATATGTTTTCATTACATTATTTTTAAATGTTCACAATTTTATTTATTTATTTATTTATTTATTTTTGAGACAGAGTCTCACTTTGTTGTCAGGCTAGAGTGAGTGCTGTGGCATCAGCGTAGCTCACAGCAACTCAAACTCTGGGCTCAAGTGATCCTCCTGCCTCAGCCCCGAGTAGCTGGACTACAGGCATGCGCCACCATGCCCGGCTAATTTTTTCTATGTATATTAGTTGGCCAATTAATTTCTTTTTTATTTATAGTAGAGACGAGGTCTTGCTCTTGCTCAGGCTGGTTTCAACTCCTGACCTTGAGCAATCCGCCGCCTCGGCCTCCCAGAGTGCTAGGATTACAGGCGTGAGCCACCACGCCCGGCCACAATTTATTTTGATAAATGAAAATTAGAAAAGTCAAATGATGGCTGTCAGCTAAAGTCGATGCTCAGTTCATCTGTGGCTATCCACTATAGTCGATGCTCTACCGAAATGTTAATTTCTGGGATTTATTAGGGGAAAATATTTTTCTCACTGAAGGGAGAAGAATGTTATAAACAACATAGGATTTGAAATTATCAAGGTTTTTTGGGGTATTACATTCTTATGTTTAAGTTAAATTGTTAACAGTCAACTTAAAAATGCTAAAAATATGGGGAAAAGTAATAGAAAATTTATTGCTTTGTTTTTATAACCAAACTTAACTTTTTAAATGTCTTTTGGTTATCAGACGCAGATGTATTTAATTTTGAGGAAACAGTTTATAGTCATCATATGTCTCCAGTCACCACCAAGCACTGTTTGGTAGCAGGTTTGTATGTATTCTTTTGTCTTGTAACATACTGAAAAGTTTCTGCCTTTTTATATCTGATTAGCTTTGATGTAGACATTTTAACCAGATGAAAATCACAATCTTATAGAAGCAAAAACAAGTATATGCTACTATTAATATTTGTTAACAGATACATGTAATGACACTTTGTCAGTGGCTAGGATGCAAAGATTAAGTGCATATTTCTGTTCCCAAGGAGTTACTTTCAAACATCAATTTTAAAGATTTTACATGGATAAAATTGGCAACGTTTCCAATTCAACACAATAAATAGGAAATTATCCTCCTATTTAAGATTGTGATTCAAAATAAACATCTGTTTACATGAGAGCACCTGCAACAAAACTTTTCATATATAAATAAGAAAAATGATTTTCTGGTACTATATTCTAGTCCCTGTGAGTCCATATTTCTGTGACACTGCATGAATCTCTTCACCTCTGGACATAAGTCAGCTGCTCTATCTGTAAAGAGGAGCCAGGTACTGAGTTGTCTTTGAAGTCACTCAGTATGTGGCCAGAGTTTCTGTGAATCGTTGCTAGTGATTGGAAGTAAGTCATTAATTTGCAAAAACTAAGCTATTAAAATAAAATGATTTGATGTGATAAAATGGCATAGAACTATGCACATACATTTACCAATGTGAATTTCCTGGTTTTGATATTATACTTTAGTTACCTATATATAATCATTGAGGAACCTGGCTGAAGGGTACAAGGCCTCTCTGTAGTAGGTTTACAACTTCTTACAAATACATAATTATTTCAAAATAAAAATTATAATAATAGAGTTTCATTACTACTAAAATACAACTACAATTAAAATAATTTTCCAATTATAAACATTTAAATGATTTGAAATATATTTTGGCATGCATTTTCATATTTCTGCATGGATATAGTAAAAATGTTATGATTCTTAATGATAATATTTTATTTCCTTTTGATGATGATTTATAACAAAGTTATCTTAAACCATATTGTTTTGTTTTTACAGTTGGTACTAGAGGACCCAAAGTCAACTTTGTGACTTAAAGTTGGATCCTGTTCTCACATTCTACAGGGTATTTTTATTTAGAACAACACTACTTTGAGTAAACCATTCAATAAAGAAACATTACTACAATGTATTCTTTGTAAGGGACATGACTGATGTTATTTGTGCTATGTGTTAAAAGTCAACAGGGAATAAAGATCCTTCTGTGCATTATTCTTATAAAACTGAACTATTGAGGAGACATTTACATGAACAATGGTCGTGGGCAGCTCAAAGGATATAGAAAATAGAAGGTCTAACTGAAAATTGTGTTATTTCTGCATTTTAAAAATAAACTACTAATGTCTCAGCATTGTTTAATGTTCTGACAAATGAGTAAACATCGTCCTTAATATTTAGGTGCATTTCAGTAAAATAATTTTAAAAGATGTTGAACTAATACTTTGTTTTTGTAAAATTATATTATTTTGCTACTTTATCAGTGTTAGATTGTCTAATTCTAAACAATGAAAAGATGGAATATAAAATACACATTTTTATTCATCTCTCAGAAACAAATATTTTTAAAAACTTGGTGAGATGGGTAGCATTTTTACTTATTATTTCTTATATAAACTAGACCAATGAAAATGTTATTTTAAGAGATCAGTTAAGTAAAAGTGAAATAAAATGTTGAAAATTTACCCTATGAACTTGTCACCTTAGCTTTTTAGAAAAACTTTTATCAAGTGCTTTCTTACAATCATGAATTAAAGTAATTTTCTGTTATATACTTTATGAGAAATTAGAAAGCATTTGTATTCTTTAAATGTTTATCTTGTATGTTTTATTGTAGTGGCTTTGGTGTAGCGATAAGTAACTGAGCTTGAATTATATGGATTACTGGCATAGGCTAACAAACTGTTTTAAAAGACTCACTTATTCTGACTATTCATTCTGAAGCAAAACCAGTTCTTTTAAAAACATACCATGTATTAGAAATACCCCTATAGTCTTCACATTAGCATTTAGACATAGATTATTATAAATGTGAAAAAATGATATTTATTCACTTTTAATTTCTCCCTTTCTTCAGAATCAGGTAAAATGATTGGCACTTTACCTTTTGATTTTTCAAACATTTGTAAGACTTTTCATGCAGTTGTATTTGCAGGTCACAGACAAGAAATATGGCAGTTTCTTGGTCACCACGTTATGATTATATCTTGGCAACTGCAAGGTAAAATTTAACTTATTTTGGTTTGAAGTTAATATAGTCATTAATAATAAGCATTTTGAAAGACTACATCTATGTAAGGTATATATTTTAGCATAGTTATAGTTATTAGCCCTTAAAATGCAATATTGAATTAGAGTTTTAGTTATATCACCAAAATAAATCTTCCTTCTTTACATCATAGTCTTATTCTAACTATCCATCTTGAAGTGTTCATCTTTTGGAACAAGAGAAAACATGAGAATCAATATAATAATGCAGATCTACAAGTACCACTAGCGAGACAACCATGTTGTACATTTTGCCACAAGAGTATATAGCGCTGTGTTAATTTAAAAATAGGGACATTTTATTCATTTTCTTTAACCTAGAATTATTTGAATCTAATATAACACATCCATTCACTGATGCAATTACTAATATTTAATGACTGCCTACCATGTGCTAAGCACATTGTGCTAAGAACACAGAGGCACCAAGGCTTTAAGAAGCTAACAGTTTAATGAGGAATATTGTCAGAAAAATCGGTGATTATAGGACATCCTGAAAACTGCTTTAATAGAGGTATATCTTTAGTAGATATAGAAAAGAAAACAGAAGCATTTAACTCAGAGAGGGTCAAAGATTGGGGGGGGGTTGTTTGTTGTTGGAGGGAAGAGTATTGCATATTTATATACTGTGGAGAAAGTACCAGGGGAGAGAAATAGGTGAGAATACGAACAGGAGGGAATGATTAGTAGTCAGGACTTTGAATAGATAGGAGGGATAGTATCAAAGGTCTAGATTGAGCCCCCGTTCACTTGATTTGACACATGAAGGGCAAGTTAAAACTATTGGAAAGGAGAAATGGTGAAAGTGAGTATGTTAAGTTTGAAACTTTGTCAAAGAAGCTTAAGAAATGCACACCTAACAGCCTCTATTGGTTTTTATGGATTTGATGTTACCGTGTTCCCCGAAAATAAGACATAACCATAAAATAAGCCCTAGCAGGATTCTAAGCATTTATGGAATATAAGCCTACCCGAAAATAAGACCTGATGATTGGCGGCTACGCAGCCTATCTGCACAACCATGCATTTCATGGTGGAGCGGTAAAGAAGACGAGCAGCCTTTGCATCTGCTCCATGAGGAGCTCTATTGCTCAACATGAGAGATTGGGGCCAATGGTTCTAAAGGAAGTAGAGTCGCAAGAAATTCAGGATGGAATTTGGGGTTTGGAGAGTTACGATGATGTTCCAGAAGAAGATGACTTAACTATGTTTGAATAAATGTAGATTGTTGTACCATACTAAAAAAATAACACATCCCTGAAATAAGCCTAGGGTGTCTTCTTGAGGAAACAATATATGACCTGTCTTATTTTTGAGGAAACACAGTATCGTTGAAAATACAGGAATGGGAATACAGATTTGAGGGACAGTATTAAGGATCTGGAATACAGATTGAATGAGTACATAGGATGCTGGGCATTTGTGCTCAGTTGAAGGTGTAGACCACGGCTGAACTAAGCCACAGAAATCAAGCATTAAATGACACAAATTTAACAATTTTTATGTTTACCCTAGTGTCTGAAAATTGTTGAAGTCATGGGTATTAGGAAGGAGATAAAATCACAAAAAGGCTGTGGGAGAATCAAGGACCTAATGAGGTAATATAAGTGTCAGAATAGAAAATTTTAAAACTGAAGATATGAAGTAGTAGTCAAAGATTTTTTATATAAAGATTTTAATAGAGGATTATTATAAAAGTGATTCATATTAGTTTTATAAAGTTTCTGTTTCTGGATTCCTTTTTAACCTGCCAGCCCACCCTCTTTGTCACAGTTTAGTTCCAGAGAACTTCTGTTAATATTTACAGAAGGTGATGTTGAAATTTATGAATTCAAAGTACAGCAAGGTCTATATTCTTTCACTTCCCTTTGTGCTAAAAAGACAAAAGTACAACAACCCAAATGTGAAAATACATTTGCACTAATGTAATGAGACCTCTGTGTGCTGTAATACTGGCAAGGTGGGTGAGGGGTACAGTCAGTATCCTAGCTACATATGTCAATTTGAAATTTATTTCTTCTCAGTGCTGACAGTAGAGTAAAATTATGGGATGTGAGGAGAGCATCAGGATGTTTGATTACTCTTGATCAGCATAATGGGAAAAAATCACAAGCTGTTGAATCAGGTAATGAAGAATGTATTAATATAGAAATATGACAGTGTTTTTCTTTACATTGAAAACTTTTAATTGACGCTAAATAATAAATGCATATCAATAAATTGCAAACTTTATCTTTTTGTTAAAAAGATATTCACCAGAAATCACTTTCTAAATTTACACAAACTGGTTATCTTCTTCAAGGTACAAATAAGTGTGGCAGTTTCATTTGCCCCCAAATTTCAAAGGTAGAAACTTTTCGGGATTAATTTGCTTTACTGATTTTGTTTTTCCTCCAATGAGGCCAATTTATACAAATTTAATGTCTTTTAGGAAGCCACAATAAATTACTGAAATAATAATATTTTGTAGCCATTGTATCAGCATAAAATTGTGTTACATGTAAATCAGCTGCAATCCATGTGACAAAGTACTTCAATTGCATTTTTACAATAGAATTTAATTTCTGTGTAGAAATTTTGATTCAGAATAAATTCTGGACCAGAAATATATTAGGATGAACTATATATAATACTTATGATTGTATTAGTAATCCTTTTTAGTTAAATTAATCAAGCTATTAAAAATTTTGCTTTCTGACTGAGCATGGTGGCTCCCACCTATAATCCTAGCACTCTGGGAGGCCATGGCAGGAGAAGCAGTTGAGGTCAGGAGTTTGAGACCAGCCTGAGCAAGAGCGAGACCCTGTCTCTACCAAAAATAGAAAAAATTTGATGGGTATGGTGGCACATGCCTATAGTCCCAGCTACTCAGGAAACTGAGGCAGGAGGACTGCTTCTAGGCTAACAACTGTATTTAAAAGACTCACTTATTCTGACTATTCATTCTGAAGCAAAACCAGTTCTTTTAAAAACAACATACCATGTATTAGAAATACCCCTATAGTCTTCACATTAGCATTTAGAATAGATTATTATAATGTGAAAAAATGATATTATTCACTTTTAATATTCATCTCGCTTTCTCAGAATCAGGTAAAATGATTGGCACTTTACCTTTTGATTTTCAAAACATTTTGTAAGACTTTTCATGCAGTTGTATTTGCAGGTCACAGACAAGAAATATGGCAGTTTCTTGTCACCACGTTATGATTATATCTTGGCAACTGCAAGGTAAAATTTAACTTATTTGGTTTTGAAGTTAATATAGTCATTAATAATAAGCATTTTGAAAGACTACATCTATGTAAGGTATATATTTTAGCATAGTTATAGTTATTAGCCCTTAAAATGCAATATTGAATTAGAGATTTTAGTTTATATCACCAAAATAAATCTTCCTTCTTTACATCATAGTCTTATTCTAACTATCCATCTTGAAGGTGTTCATCTTTTGGAACAAAGAGAAAACATGAGAATCAATATAATAATGCAGATCTACAAGTACCACTAGCGAGACAACCATGTTGTATCATTTTGCCACAAGAGTATTAGCGCTGTGTTAATTTAAAAATAGGGACATTTTTTATTCATTTCTTTAACCTAGAATTATTTGAATCTAATATAACACATCCATTCACTGATGCAATTACTAATATTTAATGACTGCCTACCATGTGCTAAGCACATTGTGCTAAGAACACAGAGGCAACCAGGCTTTAAGAAGCTAACAGTTTAATGAGGAATATTGTCAGAAAAATCGGTGATTATAGGACATCCTGAAAACTGCTTTAATAGAGGTATACTTTAGTAGATATAGGAAAAAGAAAACAGAAGCATTTAACTCAGAGAGGGTCAAAGATTGGGGGGGGGGTTGTTTGTTGTTGGAGGGAGAGTATTGCATATTTATATACTGTGGAGAAAGTACCAGGGGAGAGAAATAGGTGAGAATACGAACAGGAGGGAATGATTAGTAGTCAGGACTTTGAATAGATAGGAGGGATAGTATCAAAGGTCTAGATTGAGCCCCCGTTCACTTGATTTGACACATGAAGGGCAATGTAAAATAATTGGAAAGGAGAAATGGTGAAAGTGAGTATGTTAAGTTTGAAACTTTGTCAAAGAGCTTAAGAAATGCACACCTAACAGCCTCTATTGGTTTTTAGTGGATTTGATGTTACCGTGTTTCCCCGAAAATAAGAAATACCCCATAAAATAAGCCCTAGCAGGATTTCTAAGCATTTATGGAATATAAGCCTACCCGAAAATAAGACCTGATGTTGGCGTGCTACGCAGCCTATCTGCACAACCCATGCATTTCATGGTGGACGGTAAGAAGACGAGCAGCCTTTGCATCTGCTCCATGAGAGCTCTATTGCTCAACATGAGAGATTGGGGCCAATGGTTCTAAAGGAAGTAAGAGTCGCAAGAAATTCAGGATGGAATTTGGGGTTTGGAGAGTTATGATGATGTTCAGAAGAAGATGACTTAACTATGTTTGAATAAATGTAGATTGTTGTACCATACTTAAAAATAACACATCCCCTGAAATAAGCCCTAGGGTGTCTTCTTGAGGAAAACTAAATATATGACCTGTCTTATTTTTGAGGAAACACAGTATCTGTTGAAAATACAGGAATGGAATACAGATTTTGAGGGACAGTATTAAGGATTGGATAAAGATTGAATGAGTACATAGGATGCTGGGCATTTGTGCTCAGTTGAAGGTGTAGACCACGGCTGAACTAAGCCACAGAAATCAAGCATTAAATGACACAAATTTAACAATTTTTATGTTTACCTCAGTGTCTGAAAATTGTTGAAGTCATGGGTATTAGGAAGGAGATAAAATCACAAAAAGGCTTGTGGAAGAATCAAGGACCTAATGAGGTAGAAGTATAAGTGTCAGAATAAGAAATTTTAAAACTGAAGGGATATGAGTAGTAGTCAAAGATTTTTATATAAAGATTTTAATAGAGGAATTATTATAAAGTGATTCATATTAGTTTTATAAAGTTCTGTTTCTGGATTCTTTTTAACCTGCCAGCCCACCCTTTTGTCACAGTTTAGTTCCAGAGACTTCTGTTAATATTTACAGAATGTGATGTTGAAATTTATGAATTCCAAAGTACAGCAAGGTCTAGAGTACAGTCGCAAGAAGACTGGCTAGCTAAAGAAGTATGAAAGCAAGACGTTAGATGCTGATTATCCAACCATATTAGGGTGGATTTACATTGTCCATACTTAACTTGGTTTTCCTGATATCAGGAAAGCTAAGAGGCTTTCAATTCTCAAAGTACATCTAGGAATTTGAATCAGTTCCAGAATGGACCTAGTAACAGCATTAAGAGTTGGTTATGTTCAAATCTAATCTATTCCGAAGAAACTTAAATCCTCACATTTATTTCATTGTAGACATTTTCCTCAGCTAGAAAGAAAGAAAAGTAGCTTAAGAATGGAAAATGCTAGCTTTTGCTGACTATTCCAGTTGGCTTGGTTTGATGTTGACCTGTAAAAAGAATCAAGATTATAGAAAGCAATGAATTCTGTGACCCTAAATGAAAATTAGGCTTATAAAATGTGATGTAATGCTCTCTCTTATTAAAATGGAGATGGATAAACCCAATGGATTAGGATATTATTGAGGTTTTATAAGGACATGATAGCATCAGTTGAAGTGATTAGAAGCACATAGGTTTGCTGAGCATTTTTTTTAGAAATACCATAAGAAGCTGAAATTGACTTGTGATCATAGATTGGCCTTTCTTTTCACTTACTTGAAAGAAAATGAAAATAAATGTCTGATCTCTAATAAATTAATAGGTTTTTATATATCTGGCAAAGATGATTTAAGTATAGGAAACCAAATGGAATATGTTGTCCTCATTATTCATCTCTAGGTTTTTTAATATAAAATAAAAAACCACCCAATTTGTGCCAAATGGATTCTTAAGCAAAGTGAAATTAGTTAACTGCTTGATTGTTTTGATAGAATTTGAATAATAGAAAAGATGTAGTAACAAACTTGCTAGAAACAAGCTACAGGCCTATCTAGTCTTTTGGAAGAAAGATGCTCATGTAATTAAAAACACATAACGCAAAATTTTGTCGTTGTGATCTAAAAAATAAAGCTTACTCCTTTTTCTCCTTTTTTTTTTTTTTTTTTTGCTATTTATTAACCTTCGAGGCTGGTTTCGAACTCCTGACCTTGAGCAATCCGCCCGCCTCGGCCTCCCAGAGTGCTAGGATTACAGGCGTGAGCCACCACGCCCGGCCCACAATTTTATTTTGATAAATGAAAATTAGAAAAGTCAAATGATGGCTGTCAGCTAAAGTCGATGCTCAGTTCATCTGTGGCTATCCACTATAGTCGATGCTCGTACCGAAATGGTTAATTTCTGGGATTTATTAGGGGAAAACTATTTTTTCTCACTGAAGGGAGAAGAATGTTATAAACAACATAGGATTTGAAATTATCAAGGTTTTTTGGGGTATTACATTCTTATGTTTAAGTTAAATTGTTAACAGTCAACTTAAAAATTGCTAAAAATATGGGGAAAAGTAAATAGAAAATTTATTGCTTTGTTTTTATAACCAAAACTTACACTTTTTAAATGTCTTTTGGTTATCAGACCGCAGATGTATTTAATTTTGAGGAAACAGTTTATAGTCATCATATGTCTCCAGTCACCACCAAGCACTGTTTGGTAGCAGGTTTGTATGTATTCTTTTGTCTTGTAACATACTGAAAAGTTTCTGCCTTTTTATATCTGATTAGCTTTGATGTAGACATTTTAACCCAGATGAAAATCACAATTCTTTATAGAAGCAAAAACAAGTATATGCTACTATTAATATTTGTTTCAACAGATACATGTAAGTTGACACTTTGTCAGTGGCTAGGATGCAAAGATTAAGTGCATATTTCTGTTCCCAATGGAGTTACTTTCAAACCATCAAAGTTTTAAAGATTTTACATGGATAAAATTTGGCAACGTTTCCAATTCAACACAATAAAATAGGAAATTATTTCCTCCTATTTAAGATTGTGATTCAAATTAAACATCTGTTTACATGAGAGCACCTGCAACAAAACTTTTCATATATAAATAAGAAAAAATGATTTTCTGGTATCATATATCTAGTCCCTGTGAGTCCATTATTTCTGTGACACTGCATGAATCTCTTCACCTCTGGACATAAGTCAGCTGCTCTATCTGTAAAGAGGAGCCAGGTACTGAGTTGTCTTTGAAGTCCACTCAGTATGTGGCCAGAGTTTCTGTGAATCTGTTGCTAGTGATTGGAAGTAAGTCATTAATTTGCAAAAACTAAGCTATTAAAATAAAATGATTTGATGTGATAAAATGGCATAGAACTATGCACATACATTTACCAATGTGAATTTCCTGGTTTTGATATTATACTTTAGTTACCTAATATATAATCATTGAGGGAACCTGGCTGAAGGGTACACAGGCCTCTCTGTAGTAGGTTTACAACTTCTTACAAATACATAATTATTTCTAAATAAAAAATATTATAATAATAGAGTTTCATTACTACTAAAATACAACTACAATTAAAATAATTTTTCCAATTATAAACATTTTAAATGATTTGAAATATATTTTTGGCATGCATTTTCATATTTCTGCATGGATATAGTAAAAATGTTATGATTCTTAATGATAATATTTTATTTCCTTTTGATGATGATTTATAACAAAGTTATCTTAAACCATATTTGTTTTTGTTTTTACAGTTGGTACTAGAGGACCCAAAGTACAACTTTGTGACTTAAAGTCTGGATCCTGTTCTCACATTCTACAGGGTATTTTTTTATTTAGAACAACAACTACTTTGAGTAAACCATTCAATAAAAAAAAACATTACTAACAATGTATTCTTTGTAAGGGACATGACTGATGTATTTTGTGCTAGTTGTTAAAAGTCAACAGGGAAATAAAGATCCTTCTGTGCATTATTCTTATAAAACTGAACTATTGAGGAGACATTTACATGAACAATGGTCGTGGGGCAGCTCAAAGGATATAGAAAATAGAAGGTCTAACTGAAAACTTTGTGTTATTTCTGCATTTTAAAAAATAAACTACTAATGTCTCAGCATTGTTTAATGTTCTGACAAATGAGTAAACATCGTCCTTAATATTTAGGTGCATTTTCAGTAAAAATACATTTTAAAAAGATGTTGAACTAATACTTTGTTTTTGTAAAAGTATATTTATTTTTGCTACTTTATCAGTGTTAGATTGTCTAATTCTAAACAATGAAAAGATGGAATATAAAAATACACATTTTTATTCATCTCTCAGAAACAAATATATTTTAAAAACTTGGTGAGATGGGTAGCATTTTTTACATTATTATTTCTGTTATAAACTAGACCAATGAAAATGTCTGATTTTAAGAGTTCAGTTAAGTAAAAGTGAAATAAAATGTTGAAATTATTTACCCTATGAACTTGTCACCTATGCTTTTTAGAAAAAACTTTTATACAAGTGCTTTCTTACAATCATGAATTAAAGTAATTTTTCTGTTATATAACTTTATGAGAAATTAGAAAGCATTTGTATTCTTTAAAATGTTTATCTTGTATGTTTTATTGTAGTGGCTTTTTGGTGTAGCGATAAGTAACTGAGCTTGAATTATATGGATTGACTGGCATAGGCTAACAACTGTATTTAAAAGACTCACTTATTCTGACTATTCATTCTGAAGCAAAACCAGTTCTTTTAAAATAACATACCATGTATTAGAAATACCCCTATAGTCTTCACATTAGCATTTAGACATAGATTATTATAAATGTGAAAAAATGATATTTATTCACTTTTAATATTTCGTCTCGCTTTCTTCAGAATCAGGTAAAATGATTGGCACTTTACCTTTTGATTTTTCAAACATTTTGTAAGACTTTTCATGCAGTTGTATTTGCAGGTCACAGACAAGAAATATTGGCAGTTTCTTGGTCACCACGTTATGATTATATCTTGGCAACTGCAAGGTAAAATTTAACTTATTTGGTTTTGAAGTTAATACTAGTCATTAATAATAAGCATTTTGAAAGACTACATCTATGTAAGGTATATATTTTAGCATAGTTATAGTTATTAGCCCCTTAAAAATGCAATATTGAATTAGAGATTTTAGTTTATATCACCAAAATAAATCTTCCTTCTTTACATCATAGTCTTATTCTAACTATCCATCTTGAAGGTGTTCATCTTTTGGAACAAAGAGAAAACATGAGAATCAATATAATAATGCAGATCTACAAGTACCACTAGCGAGACAACCATGTTGTATCATTTTTGCCCACAAGAGTATATAGCGCTGTGTTAATTTAAAAATAGGGACATTTTTATTCATTTTCTTTAACCTAGAATTATTTTGAATCTAATATAACACATCCATTCACTGATGCAATTTACTAATATTTAATGACTGCCTACCATGTGCTAAGCACATTGTGCTAAGAACACAGAGGCAACCAAGGCTTTAAGAAGCTAACAGTTTAATGAGGAATATTGTCAGAAAAATCGGTGATTATAGGACATCCTGAAAACTGCTTTAATAGAGGTATATCTTTAGTAGATATAGGAAAAGAAAACAGAAGCATTTAACTCAGAGAGGGTCAAAGATTGGGGGGGGGGTTGTTTGTTTGTTGGAGGGAAGAGTATTGCATATTTATATACTGTGGAGAAAGTACCAGGGGAGAGAAATAGGTGAGAATACGAACAGGAGGGAATGATTAGTAAGTCAGGACTTTGAATAGATAGGAGGGGATAGTATCAAAGGTCTAGATTGAGCCCCCGTTCACTTGATTTGACACATGAAGGGCAATGTAAAACTAATTGGAAAGGAGAAATGGTGAAAGTGAGTATAGTTAAGTTTGAAACTTTGTCAAAGAAGCTTAAGAAATGCACACCTAACAGCCTCTATTGGTTTTTAGTGGATTTGATGTTACCGTGTTTCCCCGAAAATAAGACATACCCATAAAATAAGCCCTAGCAGGATTTCTAAGCATTTATGGAATATAAGCCCTACCCCGAAAATAAGACCTGATGATTGGCGTGGCTACGCAGCCTATCTGCACAACCCATGCATTTCATGGTGGAGCGGTAAAGAAGACGAGCAGCCCTTTGCATCTGCTCCATGAGAGCTCTATTGCTCAACATGAGAGATTGGGGCCAATGGTTCTAAAGGAAGTAAGAGTCGCAAGAAATTCAGGATGGAATTTGGGGTTTGGAGAGTTATGATGATGTTCCAGAAGAAGATGACTTAACTATGTTTGAATAAATGTAGATTGTTGTACCATACTTAAAAAAAATAACACATCCCCTGAAAATAAGCCCTAGGGTGTCTTCTTGAGGAAAACTAAATATATGACCCTGTCTTATTTTTGAGGAAACACAGTATCTGTTGAAAATACAGGAATGGGAATACAGATTTTGAGGGACAGTATTAAGGATCTGGAATAACAGATTGAATGAGTACATAGGATTGCTGGGCATTTGTGCTCAGTTGAAGGTGTAGACCACGGCTGAACTAAGCCACAGAAATCAAAGCATTAAATGACACAAATTTAACAATTTTTATTGTTTACCCTAGTGTCTGAAAATTGTTGAAGTCATGGGTATTAGGAAGGAGATAAAATCACAAAAAGGCTGTGGGGGAATCAAGGACCTAATGAGGTAGGAAGATAAGTTGTCAGAATAGAAAATTTTAAAACTGGTTAAGTTCCCAGAGAACTTCCGTTTAATAATTTACAGAATTGATGTTGAAATTTGAATTCCAAAGTACAGCAAGGTCTAGAGTAACAGTCGCAAGAGACTGGCTAGCTAAAGAAGTATGAAAGCGAGACGTTAGATGCTGATTATCCACCATATTAGGTGGATTTACATTGTCCATACTTAACTTGGTTTTCCTGATATCAGGAAAGCTAAGAGGCTTCAATTCTCAAAGTACATCTAGGAATTTGAATCAGTTCCAAATGGACTAGTAACAGCATTAAGTTGGTTATGTTCAAATCTAATCTGTTTCCGAAGAACTTAAATCCTCACATTTATTCATTTGTAGACATTTTCTCAGCTAGAAGAAAGAAAGTAGCCTAAGAATGGAAAATGCTAGCTTTTGCTGACTATTCCAGTTTGGCTGGTTTGATGTTGACCTGTAAAAAGAATCAAGATTATGAACAATGAATTCTGTGACCCTAAATGAAATAGGCTTATAAAAATGTGACGTAATGCTCCTCCTTATTAAAGGCATGGATAAACCAATGGATTAGGATATTATGAGGTTTTATAAGACATGAAGCATCAGTTGAAGTGATTGAAGGCACATAGGTTTTGCTGAGCATTTTTTTAGAAATACCATAGAAGCTGAAATTGACTTGTGATCATAGATTTGCCTTTCTTTCACTTACTTGAAAGAAAATGGAAATAAATGTCTGATCTCTAAAAATTAAATAGGGTTTATTATATATCTGGCAAAGATTGATTAAAGTATAGGAAACCAAATGGAATATTGTTGTCCTCATTATTCATCTCTAGGTTTTTAATATAAAATTAAAACCACCCAATTTGTGCCAAATGGATTCTTAAGCAGTGAAATTAGTTAACTGCTGATGTTTTGATAGAATTGAATAATAGAAAAGATGTAGTAACAAACTTGCTAGAAACAAGCACAAGCCTATCTATCTTTGGAAGAAAGATGTCATGTAATTAAAAACAGCATAACGCAAAATTTTGTGTTTGATCTAAAAAATAAAGCTTACTCCTTTTTCCTTTTTTTTTTTTTTTTGCTATTTATCACTTCCTTTGTGCTAAAAAGCAAAAGTACAACAACCCAAATGTGAAATACATTTGCACTAATGTAATGAGACCTGTGTCGCTGTAATACTGCAAGGTGTGGGTACAGTCAGTATCCTAGCTACATATGTCAATTTGAAATTTATTTCTTCTCAGTGCTGACAGTAGAGTAAATTATGGATGTGAGGAGAGCATCAGATGTTTGATTACTCTTGATCAGCATAATGGGAAAAATCACAGCTTTGAATCAGGTAATGAAGAATAGATTAATATAGAATATGAAGTGTTTTTCTTTACATTGAAAACTTTTAATGACGCTAAATATAAATGCATATCAATAAATTGCAAACTTTATCTTTTGTTAAAAAGATATTCACCAGAAATCACTTTCTAATTTACACAACTGGTTATCTCTTCAAGTACAAATAAGTGTGGCAGTCTCATTTGCCCCCAAATTTCAAAGGTAGAAACTTTCGGGATTAATTGCTTTACTGATTTGTTTTCTCCAATGAGGCCAATTTATACAAATTTATATTTTTAGGAAGCCACAATAAACTGAAAATAATATTTGTAGCCATGTTATCAGCATAATTGTGTTACATGTAAATCAGCTGCAATCCATGTGACAAAGTACTTCAATTGCATTTTACAATAGATTTAATTTCTGTGTAGAAATTTGATTCAGAATAAATCTGACCAGAAATATATATAGAAGAACTATATATAATACTTATGATTTGTATAGTAATCTTTTTAGTTAAATTAATCAAGCCATTAATTTTGCTTTCTGACTGAGCATGGTGGTCCCCTATAATCCTAGCACTCGGGAGGCAACGGCAGGAGAAGCAGTTGAGGTAAGGTTTGAGACCAGCCGAGCAAGAGCGAGACCTGTCCTTACAAAAAATAGAAAAAATTTGATGGTATGGTGGCACATGCCTATAGTCCCAGCTACTCAGGAAACTGAGGCAGGAGGACTGCTTCAGCCCATAAGTTTGAGGTTGCATTGAGCTATAGTGAGCACTGCATCTAGCCTGGATGACAGAGCAAGATCCTGTCTCAAAAAAGACTATGCTTTCTCAAACTTGTTCATTTTGTTTTGTTTGACAAGGTACATCTGTAGCCCAGGCGGTAAAACTCCTGGCCTCAAGTGAACTCCCACCTGGTCTCAACCAAGTGCTGGGGGCTACTATACCCAGCAAACTTGTTCATTTTGAAAATGATATAAATTTTGATTGAGACTGAAACAGTTATCCTTTCCCTGTTAAGGTTTTTCTAATGGAAAACACTAGTATTGTTGATTTTTAATAGTCTATGGAATAATTTTTAGATTCAAAATGGATTAATATTAGAAATTTGGATTATTTTATGTAAGAGAGATGAAAGATATTTAATTGAAAACTTTAATGTTAAACTACACACTTAATTGAATTTGATGGCACAGCTTCACAAGCTGGAAAAAAATTATATTTGGCAGAAATTTTTTCCCTTTGATTTTCTTGTTTTTCTCTGTTTTTATGGTTCTTATTTATGTAGCATATCATATTCAAATTATCTAAAGGATTGATTAATTTTAATCGCCTAGAGTTAGTCCTAGCAACTTGGAAGGCTGTGATGGGAGGATTACTTGGACACATGAGTTTCACGTTGCAGTTAGCTGTGTTGGCGTGAAAGAAAGAGAGGGAGAGAGAGAGAAAGGGAGGGGGGGAAAGAATGAAAGGGAGGAAGGAAGGAAGTCAACTTGTATTTTTTAAGTAACTCAAATAGTTGTCCTTTAATATGTTTAAATAATTATATCATCAAACATTAAATTTATGCCAAATACAGGAACAGATAAACTGAATTGTATTTTTTATTGCAGCAAACACTGCTCATAATGGGAAAGTTAATGGCTTATGCTTTACAAGTGATGGGCTTCACCTGCTGACTATTGGCACAGATAATCGAATGCGGCTCTGGAATAGTTCCAATGGAGAAAACACATTAGTAAGAGATTTATAAGTACATTTTTGGATATACATTAAAGAAATGGATCTGTTACATATACTTGATGTTTTCTATAGATTTAATTCCATTTCTTGCCTTCAAATTACAGATCTTTTTTATAATTTTTTCTATTGTGTGAACTAGTAGTTGTTACGACAACACACTCTCACTCCACCCTTTGTCACATTCCCCCCACTTAGTAGAGAATCACTGTTCTACAAAGTCACTGTTCCTAGTGGGAATATGCCACATCTCTCAAGTATGTTGGAAAAGAATGAAAGATTGAGAACTACTGTTATGAAGTTATAAAGCTAAATAGTCAAATTTTATACAAGTGGAGTGTCCATAATCCAAAAATCCAAAATGTTCCAAAATTGAAAACTTGTTGAGCACCAACATGATACTCAAAGGAAATGCTCATTGGAGCTTTTCAGATTTTCAGATTAGAGATGTTCAACCAGTAAGGCAGATACTCCAAAATCTGAAAAAAATTCAAAATCCAAAATACTTATGGTCCTTATCATTTTTGTTTTTCTATTTTTTTAATTATAATTTTTCTTCTTTTTTTATTTTTTTCACCAAGACATCATCTTACCAGGTCCTAACCATTTTGTATAAGGTATACTCAACCTGTACTATATATGAATTGTAAACAAAATCCACAATGAATTTTATAGTATTAACAGTAGAATATGTAGTAATTTAATACTGCTGGAATACATATGTTTTGAAGGTACTAGTTCTTATGTGGCAATTAATTTCCAGTACTTGTTTTTATATATGTTACATTCCTTACCAGGTGGACCTATGGTTTAGTAACTTTCATAATAAATTACCAAAAGTTTATAATTTGGTTATAATGATAATAGCTAATATTTATTGAGAGCTCATGTGCCAGATACTGTGCTAATAATAATTACCATTTAATGTTAGTGCTGGAACATATATTGTCTTATTTAATCAACCATATCAACACTATGACAGTAGTTATTGTTAAAATACCCATTTTATACGTGAGGAAAATGAGATATAAAATGATTAAGTAACTTGCCTGAGTTTACATAACTAGAAAGCAACAGAGTTTGACTGTAGATTCCAGTCTTACTATAATAATGATTATACCCAGATCCCTTAACCCTTTGCACTCGCTTGCTTTTTTCTCGATTCCTTGATTCTACTTGGGATTTAATTTTTTAAATACCCCAGATTTTACAAAGTGCAGCAGTAGAATAAAAAACTGGAGTTTCTTTTCATACAAACTTATTTATTTGGATTTTTTTATATTTCAAATTATTGATACATTCAAAGAGTAATTTTAATCTCTATAATTTTTGTTAACCATGTTGAGTCACACTCGACATCTGAGTGCAAAGGGTTAAAGCATTTATATAGTATTAATATTAATTATAGTCCTCTCTTTAATCATCTTTCTAGCTAATATTATTCTCATATACTCTAGGTGTCACTTTCATTATTAATACTAATATTAATATAAAGTCAAAATTGTTTTATATCTAGATTACTTTGGAGTTTGCTAATCCCTCATTTTTTTAAAGAGATGCTTATTTGTCATGTCTCAGGATTGAAATTGAAGCATTGGGAAATACAATTTAGAATGTTCCATTCATCATATTATAACATGTTCCTCATCAGGTTGCATCTTCTTTCTTTTCTCATTTTATTCATTTGTTTAGTAAATACTATTGAGCACTTCCCATTTGCCGGGCAGTATTAGACAGTAGTGGGCAAAACATAGAAACATCCTATCCTCATGGAGCTTACATTCCAATGGAGAGGATAAAAGACATCAATCGATCAATACATAGACATATGGATAAATTATATGTAAGACTGGGTGGGTCGGCGCTATAAAGAAAAGCAGAGCAAAGAAAGGAGCATAGGAAGTATTGGGAAGCTGGAATTGCTGTTTTACATAGGGTAGTCAGGGTAGGCCTCACTGAGAAGGTGATATTTGGCCTGAAGGAAATGGAGGAGTAACCCATCAGTTAGTTATTTGGGAAGGAGAGCATTTTAGGCAGAGATAGGAAAAAAGTACAAAGACCCTGAGGTGAGAGCATGCCTGAGATACTCCAGAAATAGCAAGGAGATTCTTGTGTTGGAATTTGTGGAGAGTAATAGAAGATGAGAACAGAAGGAATATGCCAGAACATGTAAGCTTTGTAGTTCTTTGTAAGGATTTTGGCTTTTCTCTGGGTGAGATGGAAAGCCAGTAAAGCCTTCCTATTAGGGAAGTGACAGGATCACTCTAGAAAAGTATCCAGGCATGTGTGCCAAAGCTTAATGTGATAAGTATAAATGGCACTGAATGTATATATAAATCATTAATGTGGTTTTATTCCATTTTTCTCTCCTTGAAGATGATACTTATGTCCTATGGCTTTTTGCTAGTAAACCCATATCTAGAATAGTGTGTTGAAAGTGGATAATACATTTTAAATTGGACTTGATCAAAGTAATTCATACAAAAATGATTATGTTATCCCAGAAATTGACCTACAAAAGATACTTAGGGGAATTTGGGACATCGATCTCAGAAAAGGTAACTCTTAAGGGGAAACACACTCTCTTCAAATTTTAACCCTTTGCACTCACTTGCTTTTTTCTCAATTCCTTTATTCTACTCGGGATTTAATTTTTAAATACCCCAGATTTTACAAAGCATGTCAGTAGAATAAAAAACTGGAGTTTCTTTTCATACAAACTTATTTATTTGAATTTTTTTATATTTCAAATTATTGATACATTCAAAGAGTAATTTTAATCTCTATAATTTTTGCTAACCGTGTCAAATCACACTTGACATCTGAGTGCAAAGGGTTAAAGAGCTATCAGAATAAATTCCAGTCCTGCCATTTGGTAATTTCTTTTTTTTTAATTTGAGACAGATAAAACTGTATACATTTTTCATGTACAACATGATGTTTTGAAACATATATATATATATATATATATACCTTGTAGAGTAGTTAAATTTAGCTAATTAACAAATATATTATCCCACATAGTTATCATTTTTGTGGTAAGAACACTTAACATTCACTCTCTGCATTTTTCAAGAATACAGTGTATTGTACTATAATGACAATGCCATATAACAGATCTCTTGAACTTATTCCTTTTATATAACTGTAATTATATATCCTTTAACTAGCATCTTCCTATATCTCTATTTCCCCTAACCGTCCTAACCTCTGGTAACCACCATTCTATTCACTACTTCTATAAGATCAACTTTTTTAGATTCTGCATAAGAATGAGATCCCGTGTAGTATTTGTCTTTCTGTGTCTGACTTATTTCACTTAACATAATGCCCTCCAGGTTCATCATATGGTTGCAAATAATAGGATTTCCTTATTTTTTATAGCTGAATAGTTTTCCATTGAGTATGTATACCACATTTTCTTCATTCATTCATCTTTTGATGGATGTTTAATTTGGTTCTGTATCTTAGCCATTGTGAATAATGCACAGAGGAACATGAGTGTGCAGCTATCTCTTTGATATATTGATTTACTTTTCTTTGAACAAACACTCAGTAGTGGGATTACTGAATCACATGGTAGTTCTATTTTTAGTTATTTGAGGAACCTCCATACTGTTTTCTATGATGGCTGTACTAATTTTAGTTCCCACCAACAGTATGCAAGCATTCCCTTTTCTCCACATCCTCACCAACAACCAACACTTACTTATCTTTTGTCTCATTGGTACTAGCCATTCTTACAGGTGTGAGGTGATATCTTTATTGTGGTTTTGATTTACATTTCCTTGATGATTATTGATATTGAGCATTTTTTCACACATCTTTTGGCCACTTCTAAGTCTTTTGAGAAATGACTATACAAGTCTTTTGCCCATTTTTTAATTGGTTTGTTTTCTTGCTGTTCAGTTATTTGAGTACCTTACATATTTTGTATATTAACCCCTTATGAGATGTATAGTTTACAAATATTTTCCCCATTCTATAGGTTGTGTCTTCATTCTGATGATTGTTTTCTTAACTATGAAGAAGCATTTTAGTTTGATGTAATCCCATTAGTCTATTTTTGCTTTTGTCATCTATGCTTTTTAGGACATATCCAAAAAATCATTGCCTACACCAGTGTTATAGAGGTTTTCCTCCAATATTTTGTTCTAGTAGTTTCATAATTTCAGTTCTTAAATGTAAGTCTTTAGTGCATTTGGATCTGATTTTTGTATATGGTAAGAGATAGGATCTAATTTTATTCCTCGACCTTTGGATATCTAGTTTTCCCAGCACCATTATTGAAGAAACTATACTTTCCCCACTGTGTATTCTTGGCATCCTTGTCAAAAATCAATTGACTATAAATCGGTGGATTTATTTTGGGCTCTCTACTCTGTTCTATTGGACTATGTGTCTGTTTTATGCCAGTATCATGCTGTTTTGGTTACTATAGCTTTGTGGTATATTTTCAAGTGAGGTAGTGTGATTCCTCCAGCTTTGCTCTTTTTGCTGAAGATTGCTTTTGCTATTCAGGGTTTTTTGTGATTTCATGTTAACTTTAGGATTTTTTTCTCTATTTCTATGAAGAATGTCATTTGTATTTTAATAGAGATTGCATTGAATCTATATATTGCTTCTAATTGTATGAACATTTTAACTATTCTTTCAATCTATGAACACAGATATCTTTCTGTTTATTTGTGTATTCCTCAGTTTCTTTCATCAATGTTTTATAGTTTTCAGTGTAGAGATCTTTTACCTCTTTGGTTAAATTTATTCCTAAGTATTTTATTTTTCCAGAATTTAAAAATAGGGACATTTTTATTCATTTTCTTTAACTAGAATTATTTTGAATCTAATATAACACATCCATTCACTGATGCAATTACTACAATATTTAATGACTGCCTACCATGTGCTAAGCCACATTGTGTCTAAGAACACAGAGGCAACCAAGCTTAAGAAAGCTAACAGTTTAATGAGGAATATTGTCAGAAAAATCGTGATTAT